TTTTTTCTTTGTTTCATTTTCTCTTTTTTTTCTCTTACTTTCTCGATTTCGGTTTTTGTCTCCCCTTTCGTTTTCGTTTTTTGTCCGGTCTTTCCCCGCCCTCGTTTTCGAAATCTGGCGGCAGATCGACAATCGAAGAACCATATCGAGTAGGAAACGATACATGCACTGCCTGCCAAGCAATTGGTACAGGGTGGCGACGCAGGGCTTACCACGTAAGGAAGAGCACACCGCCACTCGAAAAGTGAGATTCGAACTCGTGAGCGGGAAACTAGAGCAGGATCTTGACGAGCGCACGATAGAGTTTTCCGTTTTTTGTTACCTCTCTTTTTTCTTTTTTTCTTTTTTTTTTTTCTTTTTTCTTTCTTTTTTCTTTCTTTTTTCTTTTTTCTTTTTTCTATTTTTTTTTCGTTTTTTCTTTTTTTCTTTTTTTTTTGTTAATGGTCTAATAATAGCGGAGTTCGGGAGGCAGTCATGTCTCCAACTACTGCACTCCGAGACAGGCGACGGGGAGTAGTTTTTTTGAAGGCATGAACATAACCCGGGATGATAACTAGATACAGAGACAGCTGGTATGAAACGTAGAGCTACTACGACGACCTTTTTAGAGGACAACGACAAGCAGGGGCCAAAACTCTACAAGGTTTAAAACTAGGAACAAACACTGTAGCAAAACATCATTGCGTGTTTCAAGACTGCAATCTGAAGTGACCTTCTGGATCAAGCGAGCGGGAATTTGAGTAGCGGAGGCGGTCTGTCAGCATTGATTTCTTCCCGGACCTGGACCTCGTCGATGACTTAGTGGAGCCCGGGGAATCGGTATAGTCCACACACCCCTCGACGTTTTTTACGTCAGGTGCATGGGACTAGTATCAGCACGCAGCAGCCGACGGTACGGGGTCGTTAGCAACCACCGCGCAGCGCGACACATACCTCGCTAGCATGGCAGACAATGCCAAGGCGGGAGGTGGCAGGGCAGAGGAGAGTATAGCCATCTACGCCTTCGTCAAGTACCTTTCGCTTCTCGCCGGCATAGCGCTTCTCAGTTTCATTGCGGCCCTACCACGTCAGCCATCCTCGCTTCCTCTGTGGTTGAAGCCCTTCTCTTTTCCTGCCCCCCATTCCACCAGGCCCTCTCCCCTGCAATCCACCAATCAGGTGCACTGTTGTTTAAAGTTCCCTTAGATAAGCTAAACCGGGATAACTCCAG